ACGAATCTGTTTGTTCTTGCTCGCCAAGTTTCACTGTATAAAAACTATGCAGGTGAACAACGTTAAAGGAATCCATTTCGGTAAGATTCTGGGTTAGATTTCGAGACCTATCTTATAATACCAAAAGAAATTTTTCTTTCTCAGATGTTTCGATTTTGGATCCACAAAAGTAGCTCATCTCTGCGACGAAAAATATGGCAGTTTTAAGACCCTATTTCGCCACAAATTGTCTCACAGTTTTGTTGCGACACACATTGTACGAGGAATTGCCTGCTGTAACATCCTTTGAAATAGTTAACTTTTGCAACGTTGTGCTGCAGCAAGTGGTGAATATACAAAGTAAAATCAAGTTTTACTCTTCGTAAAGTATGATCACTGCAGCGCCTAAAACGTAGCGGGAGACATGTTCATTCCAGAGGGTGTTACACTACGCAAGGCATCGTGGTGTCGCATGCAACCGTGCAACAGAATCGCGCGGCAAAATGCAAGAAAAATTGCTTATGGTATCAGCACCTTTAGTGCTTTCCCTAATGCGAGTGTCTGGCCAAACACTTGATTGCTTCCGCTCGTCCTTATGTCGCTATATTCTGGGGCTGGCTGCGGATCTGATTTCAATCAGACCGCCATGGTCATTATTTGCAATGTCGTCAGACAAACTGGGACAAACTGATGACCCATTAAACAAGAAGACCTCAGTCTTTTTGACCATTTGTTGATTCTTTATTACGTTTTGAACTAAACCGATCTCAGTGCTGGGCTGAATTGTACAATTTTTTGTTGTTTATGATTTTCAGTTTGTGTTGATGGTCGACTGGTGGACGTTTGTGCTGACTTTACTTCTTCGAAGGAAATACAAGGGGATATTAGTGTCGGTATTGATCGGGTATTACAGCCCTAAATTACAAATACTAACACTTGCTTAGTTATTTAACAAACATGCAGTCGAGAAATGTGTTACGTATGGACGGAAGTAATTTAGACACTTCGTAAAAAACATATTTTGTTTTAGACAGGGCAAACCGGAGCTGAAAATTTTTTAATGAAATGTAAAATTTACAAATAGTCTTTTGCCGATTGAAGTATCCTAGAAACTGCGTGGCTTCATACTGAAAACAGATACCAAGTTTACTTAATATCAAAAGCCTAATGGTGGTTTACTTTGCAAATGCACATACTAAAAGATCACTTTGAAAACAACTTGGAAAGCAAAGGTGTCATTTTACTGCGAAATGGGTTTTATGCAACTTATGCGACGATTACTGAGCAATTTTGTTACCACAGAAATGCAGTTTCCAAAGAAACTTGTCTGAAGCATACTAAGAAAAACAGGCCTGGCGGTTTTCAGCCGTTAGTTGAAGCAAACAGGGAAACGACCGGACTTTACTTTTGGGCATCGATTGCAACACGCTCGCGAGTATTACCGAGTATTTAATGGATGGCCATTTTGTAACACAATTCAACGCATCGCTTTTCGCACTTCGCCGACGCCTCCAGCTCCTCATTATTGGCGCTCGTAATATTAATAAACGCTCCCTGCTGAGTTTTGAAGAAGCAGAATATTAAAAAAGCTTTTGTTGGTAACTGTAAGAAAGCAGCTGGCTAGAGTGTGTACATGACATAAAACTAAAGCTGTCTGATTTTGACATTTCGTTGGTAAACGCTGCCCAACTTTTTCCTTTCTTCTCAAAATGCTCTATTTGCCTGTGGGCGGTTTTGGTGTCAATGGCAAATGTTAATATATGGCCTTTAGCACCTGCTGGTTTAAACCGACTTGTATTTTACATTTTTAAGCTGAGCTGGTACACCTTGTTTTATTTCTTACTTAAATTAAAAGCCAGGAGAGGTCTTTGGTTTCATTTGCTTGTTAACGCAAAACAACAAAAACTGTCCGCAAGCATTGCATCGCAAAAAAATTTGCACATGCAATTTTTGGACAAATGTGTACTTATCTGTCATTTGTAAAATTGTCACATTTTTTATAGGTTTTCGTGATTATTTTAAAATCAGCGACACAACTGCTCTGTAGCTGCAGGCTGGATAAAATCACTGATGTTCTAATTCGCATTTATTTCATGTCGGTGTTGATTATTGTACAATTTCTTATCAGCCTTTTCACTGGCTTATGGACCTCCGGGTCATGTACCAACTTTAATATTTCAGTTGTCCCTAGTCTGGGATGATGATTCACGCAAAGAAGGAAAGTTTTCAAGGAGAGTTTGAGCGTCTTGAAATAACCACAGGCGTTTAAGAGATACATGTACCTATCATGGCACTAAGATAAATTCTATAGTTTTTGTTCATTACGGATAAAGCGCAGGCTTATCACAAAAAGATCCTGTGTTTTCAAATTGCCATTGTTCGGGGTGTATGCATTCAGGTCAAATGATCATGATCATGAAAAGTGTAAACGAGATCGGAATCAACTGAAAAATGGATGAAGATTCATGGTTGGAAAAGAGCTAAAAAAATAAATTTTAAAGAAGCAAAAGCCGTGACGATCAGCCTGTTTTGGATCAAATCGTCCTGTGTCACGGCCCCCTACCAACGGTTTACAATTTGGGATTCAGTTTTAGCATTTTTTACAAAATGAAGCGTTTTCCTAGAAACCAAGAACGGAGTATCGAATTAATTTCACTATTGAAATTCCATCAGAAAAAGTTTGAAATAATTTCAATGTGCCAGGAAATATTTTTTTGGTTTTTCCTCTCGCAAAGACGTGAGGATATTAATGATTTTCGAGTCAAGTTGAATTTCTTAATCCGTTTCCATGTTACAAAACTGTTGGAAAAACATCCATACTAATGATTCAACAAATGATGTAGATCGTGGAGGATTAAAAGAAGGGCCTCATTCACGAAATACACAAACTGGCCGGCAAAAATCGGACGATCACGAGCGCAGTTTGATGCAGCAATCTAAAACAAGCAAACATAATCTTATATTTTTTAGTATTCGATACACAAATTAAACCGCGCCACAAAATTCTTCAAATCTCATTTGAATAATGTTTGCTTTTCCGGGGAACTTTGTATGAATAATGAAAGCGGTTGAGACAGATAATGTGAGAGCTAAAAATAATCCACAAATTTAAACTCTACATCTATCCTACAACGTGCTACGTGTCTGGTTTTTTCTCTTTACAGGATTGCACACTCCTAAATGAGAGATAAAATCACGTTTCTTCCTTCCATTCACAACGTTCTTGCCTCGAACACAGCCAAATCTCTACTAGAATGTTTGTGTATTGTACAGTCCCAAAATTTGATTTTTTTTTACCTGTCATACAGGAGACATTTTCAGATAAAGAGTCATTATATTTTAGATATAGGTCAAAGTCGCAAGTTTCTATATCGGCTATTTTCCCGTAAACCAAAAGATAACCTGGAAAGGAAAAGAAAACAACCGTGTTTCCCTTACTGAGAATAAACTATACGGACGAGATGACAAATATTGCTAATCTCTGCTTTAAAGCGGTCAGTTTGGAACCAACTTGAGGCCAAAGACCTATATCTACCAATTGTAAATTTATCTGCAAGCTCAAGTTGTCGGAAATGTTGCGTTCGCCGGACGGATATTCGCCTGGCATGAGTTCATATTCGACCTTACCAAATTCCTCTTTGTATTAAAAGGCCAAGTTAACTCAGTACAAGGCATTACGTGCCCACAAGCTTAAACAGAAGTTTTCCTTCACGTACACCGAACGAACGAACTATAGTATAGTAGCAGAAATATTCTAACAGCTCGGTAAAAAATTGCGGTAATTTAGTTTAGCAAAAAAGAGCAGCAAACCCTATTCGTCTAACATCTAGAATAATCACAGCTCTGTCATCTTGTTATGAACTTGTTTTGTTTTCTCTGCGCTAGATAAACCAGCAATATATATCGACTATAAAAAGTGTCCAAATAGCTCAGTTTTGTTATGGCATTTAACCGCAATTTTGGATAACATAAAAACCAAACGTTGACAGAATTAACAAGCATTTATTCAATTCTTTTCCCAAAATGAATATCCTCTAGGTAAATCTTAAGTTGCTCTTTTAATGTCTTAAGTGGATTCACGGCTAATGGTTGTATTTGCACGCGAGTCGGATCAAGAATTAAAATAGATACGGACAGGAAATAATCACGACTCTTCGAAGCGTAGTTTAACTGTGAAGACAAGTGATTGTTCTAGCCATCAAATGTAGTTTACGAGATTTAAACCGCCTCTCTCGGCAATTCAGAATCTTCACAAAGCTAAATCACTCTAGCGTGTAACACAGGTATATTTCTGTGAGTGTGCATTTCTGTTGTAATAACACGTAAGATGAATGTGAAGCGTGTCTCGTATTCTGCCACCCTTATCAGCCCATATAATGTTTATTATTTCCCCCATGAATTGCTTACCCGCTAAGGAGGCTAAACTGCTGTCCCAGTCTGTCCTTCAAGTCTTCATATTCTCCATCGAAGCTCGCAGAGTGTTCTGATTTTTTCCTTTTGACTCCCGTCACCACAGACTTGAACTTTTTAAAATTCTCCGAAAATTCCTCGATGCTTATTCTTCCATCCCTGTCCGCATCGAGCTTGTCAAAGACTTCCGCTAGATCGTGAGCGTCCAAATCGCATACTGCGGCTAATTCCTCTCGGTCTATATACCCGCTTCCATCCAAGTCCACCGCGCCGAACAGGTCACGGGGTTTGACATTTTCAAAGTTAGCCATAGCTTGAAACTATTCCATAATGCCCTTCGAATCCTGTACTTGTATCATCCAGTCGTGTAAAATTTCCGTTTTTTTTCAAGGCTTGTTGCGTCCTGTAATATTTCCCCTTGCTTATGAGCTTCGCGTTTTGTGGTCGAGTAATTATTCGAGTGAATCGTCACTTAGACACACACAGCTGTTGTGAGTGGTTCGTTTCTCGCCACCCGCTCGATCTTGGCGCGATTGTAAATTTCCTGTCAGGCCCAACCAATCAGCGACCGGTATTTGAAGACTAAAACAATACGGACCAGTTAAGGGGCCGTGCGATTGGTTAGAATATTAATAGCATCATTACCCTATTGTATTTTCATATTAAATGTCAACTGTTTACCATGGTTTGGCGGGGAAGCGCCGCATGTCTCCTTGTCTACTCGGTCATCCGAGTTTCAAATTCAAAAAGAAAAAAGAAACAGATATCCTACCTGTTATGATCATATCCTTTTGTATTCTGTTTTTTTCTTTCGTAATATGATTTCCCCACTTTATTTTCAAGCAGAAGAAAACGCTAACTGATTCAAATTAGATAGCTAGCTGCAAATTTAGGCGAAAATTTGCGAAAATTTCATTTGACAGCCTCATATAAACAACAATTGTTATTTGCGAAGTATCATCTTACTACTTAAAAAGATCGTTTCGAGACTTACTATTAACTTACTAACTTTCAAAGAAAATTTGATCCACGTTTTTGTTGTGGTCTAAATTGTCTTTTCAGAAGTAAGAAAACTGAGATTACTTTGAAAAGAACACTCATACCGCCCCATATCAGTATATTCGAATTCACACAGTTTGAAATGACTTGTTCGCCACAATTGGCATCTGCGAAAAAAAAAGAAAAAAAATAATAATAACAAAAACAACCCACACACACTCACACACTCGCGTCTCCGGGGCAGCCGCACGGTTGCAAATATCGTGCGTCGTTATATTTTGCCTCAGGACAAAAAAGTACTGACAGGTCTTTTTCCTCTCTTTTGCATAATCAAGTCACGAAACGTATGGTGTAACTTCATCTGATGCAGTATATTCACGCGGGATGGAAACTTAACATTCTACAGAGATGATGGTCGAGATTAAATGACAAAAGTCAGAAAAGAAATATATTACAATTTATTCCATGCCATAGATATTATAAGCAATCGAATTTTTTTTCCTATTCGACAGCATCTGACAGCAGTGTTAGTATTTTCCCGCCATTATGTGTCGCGACAGTAAACGTTCGTTCAGTTTCCCGCCAAAACAATAAAATGGCCGCTGGTGGTCGCTTTGTTTTACAAGGCTTTTGTAGTGAAGTGTCAGCAGGACTGCTGACCACATACGTTTTCGCCGATTATGCGCAGCTTCGCCTAAAGGCTAGGGTTTTTTTTTTTTTAACTTACGTGCAGAAAAAATAACCCTCGTAGAATATTTCACGATATTTCGGAAGCTGCCAAAAATTGGTCTAGGTCTTGATCTAATTAGATTTACAAGTTCTCATCCTGAGCTGGGGAAGAATTTGAATGTGTTTTATGTCGGAAAGAAATTATTTTGATGATCTGGTGATTCTTCGGAGAAATGCTAATAAGAAATAGAACTTCCCGTGGAAACATTTAACGGTATAACAGAGGATGCAAGACCGTGCTGGCCGAAACATTTTGTAAGTAAACGAGAAAACGTTTCAATGCGTTTTATGTGGGAAAGAAATTAATTTGTTGATCTTGTACTTTTATAGTCAACAAAATGCAAATAGAAAATTTCTCCTATTTTTAACTCAACACCCTTTTAGCGTGCCAATGAAATTTCCATTTAACGGGGAACGCGCGGGTAAAGACAGAATTGAATTTACCAAGGTAAGATCTAGCATATTTTTTCTACACCAATTTCCGATACTAAAATGTTATTAAACATATTCGACTCCATCATTCTCGTCACAAATAGTGGACTGAATTATGGTTGAAGAATAAAGAAACTAAGCCCTGACATGGAAATTATTAATGCTCATCAAGTAATATTTATGCCCCGGATGAAGAGTGCAGTCCCCCACCAAGAGGAGTTTTATTTGGTCGGTCCGTGAGGACCACTAAAACTTACAATAAGTGATTGACGAAGTCAGTCTGGTTATTCGTTAAATTACCAAGCAAAATTTGAAGAAAGCTGTACCAAAACGTAAATGTTAACGGAGTACACCATAAGTTGTCCAATAGATACTCACAACCATTTCGTCATTTCGCGTTTGAATGAAACACTACTACAAGATTTCGAAGTAACGTGTAATTCAAGGATAATGAAGAGGTCCATAGAAAAATTATACTTTATCTGTTCAGTTTTGAATTATTTGTCAGAAATTGCCTTAAGCCTTTGTACCAGTTCTTGTTTCAGAAATATATATCGTATCGATACACCGTAAATGATAGCTAATTACGCGCACTAAACAAAAATATATGGTCACAAGCCCAACGCGGAAGGTAAGCTGCCCCTTCATCATTCTTTCATACCCTGGGCAAACTCTACTCCCCCGTTACGTGGCTTCTAGAACAAGGTAATGACTCAAATTCAAAACTATTTCTAGTTCATACAACTTTATTGCATTAATTTTATCCGAATCGTTCTTGCGTGCTGTTCCCCGTCCACCTTGAAGGGGAGACGTAATATTGCAGTGACGTCATTGATCGTTTAGGGTTTACGCAATTTTATTTTGATCGCAATAGATTCATTATACTATAAATAGAAATTCGAGGTGGATATTGCCACGCTTGTTTTATGAGAGATTCTTTCACGTACAAAATCAGACCTCGCTATTTCGAATGTTGCGAAATTTCACTGGGAGCGGAGGAGTGAAATTCGGCTCCCAATGGAAAATTCTCGGGCGTTGATGTGCGTGAATTTTTAACTGACTTCACGTGCGCAAAGTGAAATACATTCATGTTTAATTTTCCGCGAACGGAAGTTGTCCGGTCATGGATTTTCTTTGCTTTATTTTACACAAGAAAAGCTAGTTAATTCGCGCAACTAACGCGCTACAAATACTGTGGAACTGTTAACTTTGGGAATTCTCCTTGAGCGACAACTAATCAGCTTCTCTTCTCAAACACCGCATGTGAAAAGTCTCAAACTTCTCTCATGGAGTGACATTACTGTAAAGGAAACTTCTCGTCTGCGGCAACCTCCCGTAAGTTACCATGGATGCTCACAAGAGGCTCGATATTGTGGTTATTGAAGCCTATTAAAGCCGGCATAACATGATCTACCCGTTGCCATGAATGAAATGACATCAGGGCCGGGCTTTTCGAAAGCCGGTTGACGCTGACCCAGAATGAAAAGTTAACCGAGATATTAATTTTTCTCGAATAAAAATGTTTTCCACTGCTTATGTTTTGTCTAGTTTTAGATTAAACAAATTGAAAACTGAGACAAACAATATGAACAGAAAACCTGATCGAAAAGTTACAAAACTGAAATTGAAATTCTTGCTTTTAATGGGTTCCTGCTTAATCGGGATTTGAACAACCAAGCCCTGAACTGGGAATAGAATGACGAGGCAAGTCAGACTTTCCGTTTTGACATAACTGACATATCCGGTTTTACGACGACAGTTTGAATTTAAAAAGATAGTTTAATTTGTACTAGACTAGGATCCCATTTGACTATCAGTTGGTAAACGACGTGTTTTTAACTGACGGGTGAGGTCCGATTTGGACGAAAATTTCTGAAGGTGAGAAATGGTCCGAAATTGTAATTCATAGCTGAGAAATTGCTAAAAATGTAACTGAAAACTGCCGGAAGTAGCTCCGAGGGTACGCCTCTTATCTTCTTGGTTGGCATCATCTCCACTTATATTATCCCCCATTGCAAACGACATAACAGCAAAAATAAAAAGAGCCCAGGAAGAAGGAATGACGCCAAGTAATGATATGTCGGTCCCAGCAAGAGCAGGCGTGGCGCAGCGGTGAGAACGCTCGCCTCCCACCCTTGTGCCCCAGGTTCGATTCCGGCCCGGTGCTATATGTGGATTGAGTTTGCTGTTGGTTCCCGCCTTGCTCCGAGGATTTTTCTCGGGGTTTGCCAGTTTTCCTCCCTCCACAAAAACCAACATCTCCAAATTCCAATTTGACCAGGAGAGAGGACCGGCATGAAAACCAGCGAATTCCTCTCTAAATATTACAATTTTCATTCTCTATGTACTTGTGAACTGTGTAATTAATTGTAATTGTTTGTTGTCTTTTCAGCTACACGTAGAAAAAAGAGTTCTTAAATTTTTGTCGACGGCTTAAGTTCTGAATAGTTTGCTGTGACTTAAGTTCAAAATCTTTATGTCTTACAAAGGAAAATTGAAAACTCAAGAAACAGAACTTGTCGGTGCCAGGAGATCATTACCCGAAGCCTCCATCTCCTACACTAACCCTGTGAGTCAACCCTTAACCCTTTGAATACCAACTACGCATATAGTTGGTATATATGCGTAATTAATGGTCGTGCTCTTTGTACCACTTGTGACGTCATCAATTTAAATGTCATCAGATATTCTTGATAAGCAGATAGTAGTACTAGGCTAGGCCTTTCCGTACAATGGTCAGGTTTAGATATCGACGACGTTCCGACGTCGCAAATCGAAAAACAACGTTATCAGTTTTGGTGCAAAAACGGTGGTAAAATGGTCCACTACGCCTATAATTGATAAAGGTCCATTTCTAGGCTTCGCCCGTAATTAACATCCAACTTTTCACAGCAGCCAGAAAGAACATACAATGCAAAAGGTAGCCATTGTAAAAGGGCTGAGGAAAACAGAAAGGAAAGGGGCAACAAACAAAATTCAGAACGGTTCATGACAAAAAGAAAAAATTAGTCCAAATTTTGGCTTATGTGCATGCCCGGAATTGAAATTTTGCTCAATTTTGCACCTAATCCTCGAAAAATCTCTCCTTTTAGCAAAAAAAAAGCTTTCTCAGCAAAACTTAGGCTTATTTAGCGTCATGGCAGCTAAAAAAACCTGACTGAACGGTTAAAAACGGTATTTTTTGGCGAAAGTTTGGTATTCAAAGGGTTAACCGTATATTTCTGTTTTTACAAACAGCTCTTGTGGGAGTTTTCACTCGATCTCTTTTCAATACTCAATGATATCCGAGCTAAGACTGAGATCCCACTAACCTACTAACCTAACTCATTACCATTGTTTGTTTCTTTGTTTCCCGTAAAGTTTTAAAGGAGTTATATCACGGACCGCGCATCTTGAAAAAATTGACCAAGTTTTTCAAGTTTGTCTCTTTCTCTAAATCTTTCTCAGTCATGGCCATCCCTAGTTATTCAGTTTTTTTGTGATACATTTTTTAGCAATATCCTACTTTAGGAAATTATTATTTTGATATTTTTTTCAATTTAAAAGTAATCAGAAAATGACTTAAAATATTCTGACGTTACGTGTACATTTCTTGCAGAAAATTTCGGACGTAAATTTTCGGACACTTTTTATCTCATGTCGGACTAATTTCCGACAAACATTTTGGACACTTCGTTGAAAAGGACCTAAGGTAAATTTGCGCCAACAAAACACGAATTAGACTGAAAAAATCTGTGAAAATGATAGTTTTACAGCACCCTAATGGGTTTTCAGATACACGGACGAGAAAATAACAGAAATTTTATCAAGCCGTTACGTATCTCGAGCAGTGTCTCGAGTAGAGCTTGTTCCAAAAAATAATAATAGTAATCTAAGAGTTTGGAGCTACTTAAAAATTTTATACTGTACTGTAAATATTTCAGGCGCTTAAAATTCCGGACGGTTTCTAATTTCGAACACTTTTTGTGTCTGAAATTAAAATCGTCCCAAAAATTTTGCAAGTAATGTACCCGAGATGTTAGGAGCACGTGACTCAAAATTGATTGACCGCGGCGCAATATCGAGGTCCAGGAATCTAAGCCCTCGCCCTTACGGACACCCACTAGTACAGGACAAAAGACAAATCCCTTTCAGATGCTACAAAGAAATGTATGAAGTAACTCCCGCTATTAAGAAATTGGGACATTTCAAGCGACTGGAGGTGTTTTAGGGCTAGACACTAATCATTTTACTATACAGTGTTTTCGAACTACACTGACTCCTCCACTAAGCTTTACTGGCAAAGTAAATTTCATATTTTTAGTTCTATTAATTAGTATTAATCTTTGAGGTCCTTTTCGAAAACCACATGTACGTGAAAAAGTTTCCTCAATAAAGATTATTATTATTATTATTATTATTATTATTATTATTATTATTATTATTATTATTATTATTATTATAAGTGACCCGTAGTGGTAATATTCGATTAACACAAAACCAATGTTTAGCGCTCGGGCTTACGCCTAAAAAATGAGCTTCTTCTTCTCAGTCATCTTCAGGTCCTTATTATGAGAATTAATGTTCCTTTTATAGTCCTAGTCTGTGTAATCAATGCCAGTTTATACTCTTTTTCTTTGGCCATCGTAGCTTAATAAGAAATAACACCCAAGCTGCGGTGACAAAAATTTAGGTGTTACTTCTATTCCTAACGGTCACTTCTGAAGATGTATGTTGAAACATACGAAACGTCAGGTAAATGAACTTTGTTTTTTTTTTTAACATGCGTTTTATTGCCATGTTTATCACCGCAGTTTGCGTGTTATTTCTTATTAATGCCAGTTTAATTTTGAAAAGAAAGTTTTCGAGGACCAGGTCGATTGAAAAACTAGTTTATGCATTCTACTTGAAAGTTTCACGTTTCAATTTATTTAGAGTATCTCCCGGCGTTAGAGCTATCATCAACTGGCAAAGTATGTAAAGACAACGTTGAGTTCAAAAAACGAAATTTATGGTTTGTGTTCTCCAGAAGATGTAAACTTTGGTCATTTCGCATTGTTCTAGTACCCAGATCTAGCCCCTTTTGGCCGTGGGAGACCTGGATTTAAGATTAGTTTTGTAGACGATGGCGA